AAATATTCTTCATGCAATACAATTACAATAAGTTCAAACTGTGTACTACTCACACGTTTCTCGAACAGATATTTGACAGAGATATTTTGTTATTTTACAGTAAGATTCATTGTGATGTTCAGAAAAAAGTCAATGAAGAATTTCTAAAAAAAGAAAACTTTGAATTTGATAGTATGTCAATAATTGATGTAACTGTTTCAAATTTATCATCAAGAACGACAAGAATGTTTTCTTCTGCTTCTAAATTTCATATGAATTAAGATATTTCAACAGATTATTCTGTATCATGATCAATAGTAGTTAATAGATTCGGTTCCATTGTATTTATTTATTTTTCATAAGTATAAATGTTACTGCTCTCGAATATTCATCATTTATTTTCATTTCTAATATCTAAACCACGATATTTTTCAAATCAACAAGCTCTGTTTTGCCATTCAAAACTGTAACACATATTTCAAACATATTTTGATGAACATTTATAAAATCAAGTGCTAGTTGAACAATAAATATTCGTCATATTGATTTATTATCAATTAACTTGAATATATGTGCAATATCATATAACACTTATAATGATTCACATATCGTTAATATTTAGTTCATTATCAAATGTATACATTAAATTATGATATTCAACAATCACTCTTCTTCCATATTCATATGATTGAAAAACAAATGAAACGTAACATGGTATTGCTACTGCTAAATCTACATGAATAGGTTTTAAACTCATCATTTGAATAAAAAAGAAAACTAGCAACACTATTTCAATCACTAATATTTTCTCTTTTACCATGAAACATTTTTCTAAATATTGTGATCGTTTGTAATTAGTAGTTCTTTATTCTTTTTTTTTCTAAATATCAATCATTAGATAGATGCCTTCCTTTTTTTTTTTCATAATTATTGAAATGTAATTAGAATTAACAGTCAAGTATTGTCCATTTAACGAAATAATTTAATCATAGAAATATTATTCATTTTATTACTAGCAACAGTTTGAATAATTATGAAAACTACTAAACTAAATGTTTACAAATATACATAAAAAAAAAATTGAATATATCAAAATGGAATGTCAAATGAAATATCAGAAAAAAGAAATAATTAAACACAAAAAAATTGTATTAATATAAAAAAAAATACAAAAATTGATGATATATATAAACGAGATGTTCCATTACATCCATCACGTGAACATGTATATGTACATGAATAGTACATTTTTTCATCTTGAGGATATTTTACCTCAAGACATTGATTATCCATATCACGAGAACTACAAAAACGTTTTGTAGCCACAGCACCTATGAATAAAAATAAATGATATTAATATTCATGAAAGAAGACTTTTAACTTACGACAAAACCTTCACAAGTATGACTCATCAATCGTACTGAAGGAGTTCACAAGAAATCAAAGCTATTTTTATCTTACTTTCCTTTAAAGTTATAAATAGCTTTTAATCCTTTCACTTTTATTTGATTCTCTTCAGTTCCTTAAATCTCTTTAGTCCCTTTAGTGTTTTTACTTCTATCATTTTTCTGTTAGTACCATTGTTGTAGTTATCTTTCAAAATGTAAGTATTTTGTTTTTTTCAGAAAATATTCATTTTATCTTGAAAGATATCGATTATAGAATATCACTTTTTCCTAATCGGTTTGGAATTTCAGTCAATAAGATGTTATTTATTATCCATTTTGTTTCATTTATTTTATTGTGAATTCGTGTGTTTCACAATTCAAAATTGTACCTGTAAATATTATCGTTTAAACTTGTTAGAAGTGAAAGAATTGGTAAAAAACTTAAACAGGACAAACCAAATAGAAACAAGGAAACTATTGGAAAAAGGAACTAAAGAAAGTAAAGAGATAAAGACTGTTTATAAGTTTACATGAAAGTTAGACGAGAATAACCTTCATTTCTTGTGAACCTATGCTTTCATCCCACATAATTACAATTATACTCAACTTATTATCTCTGGCAAAGTATTTATAACAAAGTTAAATTTTGGAATTTCAACTTGCAATTTCGCCCATAGATAAGTCTCATGAACATTCGAATGCCATGAAAATTGCAGCTCAAAAAAAATATGTTGTTGTTGAGATATCGAATGTTGACAACACTAAGCTTTCTTCCTTTTCCTTATGACACATGACTGTTTTTAGATATTCAATATTTCAAGAAGAACACATTCTTTTAGGCTGAAATCTTCAGGGCAGTATAGTGTCCATGACAAATCAGTTCGATTGGCAAGTCACATTTGAGGACTTTTTCTCGTTAGCTATGAGTAATTTTCGAAGAAGACTATGAAATAAAGAAGAGAAACCTGCTCTAATGTATAAAGTTTTTTGGCGTATAATGAAATTACAAAAAAAAATGGAATAAAATAATCCAAACTTCAATCGGTAAGAACAAGTCTTATTGTAATTCTATAAAACTCAACGAAATTTGCTTTCATAAAGAAAATTTCATTATGAAATATTTTTATTAATATAAACATCTGTCTTCTGGTTTCTCTTGGTTTTCTGACCCAAACTTTTTGGTTTTTTTCTGTTACTAATGTATAGTTTAAAATATTATCTATCTAATCAATATCTTTTAAGATGCAAAAATTATCTTTCAACGTTAAAAAATCCAAGAAGAAATAAAAATAGTGAACACTGTTCATTGTTTCATGGAATTATTCTTAAACTAAATTTTTCATGAAAGAAAGTGCAGAAACAACCTCGTTTCTTCGACTTACTACGTTGAATCGATCGAAAATGTATATCACAAATGTTATACATTGTTTGGGATGGGTAGGTTTATTTCAAAAAATATCGTTCTGCTGATTTTTAGTAACTCTCTTCAAAAAAGAATACGTTTATCAGGATGTCTTCAATATTTTGACTGATTTATTTAAGGATAAAAAATGAAACGATATCCATGCTAAACAGTGTTTAGTGCTGTTAAAAACATACAGAGCTCTATCACACAGTGTCTCAAGGTAACAGAGGCAACTATTGAGGCAATTTTTCGTCATTGTGCTTCCATTATATCATAGAAGACAGCATTCGAGAACTTTGAGTCTATAACAACTTTGCTTTTACTTATGAAGATTTACTGGCTCTGAGAATTTCAAGTTTTTATGATAAGCTATTCTCCAGAAACTCTGTAAAAGAGATGGTATTCTGAAAAAAACTTGCTATAAGAAAAAAAGAAAATACTATCAAACCTCCGAAAACAGCAATTGTCTTAATACAAAATCGAGCATCTTGTACTCCATCAGGTCCACCACATTCGATAGGTAGTATATCTTTACGTGTCCATGTTTCTGGACAATGTTCATCTTCTTTTGAATCACATACAAAACAATTTAATGAATTTGAAACTATAATAAAATACAAATATTCTTTCAAAAATATTCATTGTAAAATTCTCTTACTATTAATAAATATTCCAAAAATTAATATCAAACAAATCAAATATTTCATGATTATATCTACAAAAATTCATTGTAGACAAGAAGGATTATCATAAAAGACAGACAAAAAAAAATACAAGTGTTATTTTTATTTCTTTGCACTTATATATGACATATAGACAAAAAACAAAATGTTAATTTAAAGAAATTGTGAACAAAATGCATCAATAGCATCAGCACATTGTTTAGCTTGATGACGATTTGCACCAGCATTATCCCGTATCCAAAGTTCAAAATATTCTTTATTTTTTAATAATGTTAAATAAATGCCCAATAGTTCATAAGCCTTAAAAATCAAGAAAAAATAAGATAATTAACACAAAAAAAGAAACTCAAATATATCCTACTTTTGTAATACCAGATTGTTCCAAATTACTTGCTAATTTTGGTCCAAGACCAGGTATTTCACTAAGATTTTTATCTTTCAATGGTTCACTTGTAAAATCACGAAACTTTTGTGATGTTGTCGATGACATGGTTTAATAATCTAGAACTAAATGAAATAATAGATTTTATTCAACAGAATAAAAAAAAAAGAAGAGCAACATCATTAAGTTTCTTTATTGAATATACAGAAAAAACACAAAAAAAAAATAGAATTTTTTAAATAAATGCTTCAGCCCATTCGGATAATGCTTGTGCTGTTGTTTTGGCTTGATGACTATTTGCACCACATTGTGTTTGAATCCAATCTTGAAATTGTTCAATATCTTTATTACATAACAAATATTTACCAAATAAAGTATATGCCTAAAAGAAAGAAATTTCATAAATCAAACAAACAAAAAAAAAATAATAATTGATGCATCCAAAAAAAAAACAACAAACTTTTTCATAACCAGCTTCAGATAATTTTGCTCCGAGAACATCACCTATACCAGGAACATCTCGAATACCTTTATCACCAAGTGGTTCAGCCATAAATTCACGAAATTTTTTTGTTGTTGAAGAACTCATCGTTAAGAAATTTCTGATACCAATGAATCAGTGTTTGTGAAAAATGATCTTTTTTTTTTCTTCTGTCTGTGCTTGTGTCAACCACATATAACTGATGATTCATTCAGAAAATTTCTCATTGGCTGAATCTCTCTTTAAATTTATTGGCTGATGCTTCATCTACTTCATCTGACCTTACATCGATCGATGAATCATTCAATGAAAACAACAAAAAAAAAGTTACTAATATAATGAGGCATATAAACTAGATGCTACAATTATAACGGTACTTTTTATTTAATTACTATATTCTCTCCGTATATCATCGCTGGGAAAAGTCGTTCCCCTTTTCCTCCTATTCTCTAGCTCATATATATGACGAAGTTCATATCACACATTTTTATTATATAAACTGATGCATTAAATCAAGATCTATTTGAAATATCACATGAATGACAATTCAATCCAATTATCAGTAAATAAACGTTATACATAGATTGAAAGAAGAATAAAATAAAATAAATATTTTTTCTTCTGTTTTATTTCTATCTATTTCAGATTTGTCCGTTGTTTTTCTAGTATAAATCGATTTAGAATGACAACTAGACAAACTTCAACTGGACAAACTTCAACTGGACAAACTTCAACTGGACAAACGTCAACTGGACAAACTTCAACTGCACTTGTTGATAATGTGCAGAAAATTTTATCAGTGTATGTACCAAACTTGAGTCGTGACAGTTATAATAAATTGTTGGCGTCTATAAATATCAAATCATATGGAACAATAACTTGTATGAAAAAAGAAATTTACCTTAAAAAAACTTATTTGTTTTTTCTCTCTTTTGAAGTTTCTGATAATAAATCTCATCAAGCAGATTTTATTCGTATACCACATGATGCACCTGTTATGCAAGTTCACGAATTCCTGAATCGACACTGGAGTGAGGGAGTAGGTTACTTAAATGTTTTGTTTTGAAAAGAATATATATATACATATATTTAGCATCCATCACTTGTCATATCTATTACTGGTGGTGCAAAAGAATATAACATGAAACCAAGATTATTAAGAGCATTTCGACGTGGTCTTCTTAAAGTTGCTCGAACAACGGGTATTGAAAAATGAAATAGTTTTTGTGATAAAATACCTAGGATGTCAAATATTGTATGTAAAAATTATTCTTGCTGATTTTTAAAAATTATTAGCAAAATTGATATGCGAAAGAACTGCTATTTTTTAGTTAAATTTTTTTCATTGCGTGAGTTATTATATACGATGATTGTATGATGTGTCATAATAAGATAAATAACAGTGCATAAATTATTCGCTACAACTTTCATTTACTATTAGTGATCATAATATTGTTAATTTTTGATTGATATTATTAAAAAGAATATTTTCTTCTATTGTTCAATTGTAGGTGCATGGATTATTACTGGTGGTATGAATACCGGTATTATGAAACTTGTTGGTGAGATTGTTCAGATAAATCCTGATCGTTCTCGACCAATTCCTTTAATTGTAAGTTTCATATAATTTAAAGAAATTTAAAATATGATTTTCTATTTTTTTTTTTTTAATAATAAAATAATATTTAGGGTATTGCTACTTGGGGTTGTGTATCTGGTCGTGATGATCTTGATCCTATACGTGGTTCAAGTGTATCTTACACTAAACCTCGTAGTAATACTAAAGGTGAAGCACCACTTGAACCAAATCATACAAAATTTATTTTTGTTGATGATGGAAGTAACAATAAATATGGTCGAGAAATAGCTTTTCGTGCTAAACTTGAACATGCTATTTCTGGTGGATTTTTTTCATCAAAGACTACAACAAATTCTTCAAGTCAAAATGCTAGTTTATGTGCAACTCAATCTTTCCGATCAGAAAATTCAGGTTCATATGAAAAGTTTTATCTTGTTTGTTAATAATAATAATTTTTCTTTTAATGTAGAACCAGTACCTGTTGTTCTTCTTGTTGTCGAAGGTGGTCCAAATACAGTTCGAACAGGTAAAGAAATTTTATTAATTTAAAACAATATAAAAATGTATATATTTTTCATTTGTTTATAGTTAAAGAAGCTGTTGTTGAAAACAATATTCCAGCTGTTTTCTTCGAAGGAACGGGTCGTTGTTGTGATTTATTTGCTAAAGCATTTCGTTTTTATAATAAACATCGTCCGCAAAATGAAGCTGATAATGAAACATTAACAAAGTAAATGTAAAAATAGAACTATTCATATAATCATACTAACTTAGAAAATTAGTTTGAGTTTTTAAAAATTCATTGAATAATTCCTTTTTATATCAATAACGAAGAGCTATATGTGAAGGATGTTCAGTAAAAAGGGAAAAATGAGTTAATCGAAACTGAACATGAGAACAAGAGCGATCAAAAAGTTTGTGATTTTTACCTTGGCATCTATTATGTATAGTCTATAATTGAAAATAATGACAAGACCTTCTTTCTAAAAGTGTATTTAGTTTTCGATTTTTCCTACTCCTTAAATTTATTCTGAAGAAATATATCTGATATAAAATTTATAGTTCAGACATTGCTTTTTCGAACAAAACATATGTGATTAATTTAGAAGTCGGCAATATGACTCAGTAATTTTAATATTTGTTTCAAGGAGACAAGTGCAGCATCTGAGCACCAAATCTTATCACAAGGTGCTGAATAGCTCATACAAATTTGAAAATACACTGGAAATTAAGGTGATAACCATGAATGAGAGTTATATTACGTTAACTCGATTTTTCAATCAAGGCAAGACTATTTTTAGAAAATAATGATTTTTTAATATAATTGGATTAAAAGTTTCTGAGATCAAGAAATCGAATGACTAATCGATTTATCCAGTCAACAGAAGCCTATTTCAAACTAGTAGCTCAACTTTATGAAACATTAGTGAACAGAAGGGAAAAAGGTTTCCACTGACCGAAAACCGGATTAGAGATTCGGATTCTTCGACTCCAAAACCTTTAGTTAAGTTTTATAAAAATAATTATTATTTTCGAAAAACAGTCTTGTCTTAATTGAGAAAATTTGGATTAAAATGGTATCATTCGCATTCATATCTCTCACATTAATTTCCAATCTAATTCCAAATATATGTTAGCACCTCTGTACAAAAAGGTACCGTGGATTCCAAACATACACTTTCTTTATTGCATTTTTTCCATTTCTTTCCAAACAGATGATACTGATAGTATTAAAAAAAAAGAGTATGAATACTATGATGAATTTTTATTGAAAAGCAAGTTTTTCATTTTAGTCGTGATTCAACTACTTCAATAAAACATTATTATGATGATGATGAATTAAAAATAAGACTTCGTGAAGAACTTAAAGATGACCTTCGTGTAATTAGTGGTTCGGCAGATACCCCAATTGCAGCGGATACTAAACCACATCCTGATGATAAAGACGATTATTTTGAATTGGTTTATGAATGTTTTCATAAACGAAGACATTTTTTAAATGTTATCAGTCTTAATTCACGTTATCCAGTTGAACCTGATATTGATTTAGCTATTTTACAAGCTCTATTAAATGGTTGGAGAAAAAAAAATATTAAATTAATTAATTATATATTTTAATAAAAATATTTTTTTATTTAGCTACTTCTAATAGTGAAGATTTTAAAACAAGTGTACAACGAAAACGTGAACAACTTCGTTTAGCATTAGAATGGAATCGTGTGGATATAGCTAGAAATGTGATTATGAAAAATGAAGCAGATTGGGTAAGAAAAAAAAACAATATGAAATAAATTTCTTTTGAAAATTTCTTTTTGTGCTATTATTATTTCTATTAGCGTATTGATTTAAATGATTTATTTTTATCGGCACTTAAGCGTGATCAAGTAGCATTTGTTAAATTATTTCTTGATCATGATTTTTCATTAACTGTTTTATTTCGTAATATTGACCGACTTGTTGACCTTTATGATCATGTCGTCAATCATGTAAATTAATTTTTCATTTGAATATGATATATAATAATATATCTTCGTTGTTTTTACTTTATAGAATAATGATTCTATTAAAACTGACTTAGATCCATTGCGAGCATTATATGAAGCAAGAATTCAACCATTAATAGGAGATTTTTTTGATGTTCGCGCTGCACTATCTCAAAAAGATTTAAAACCAAATGCTGACTCTAAAAGTGAAGATGATAATGAAAGGGGTGGTTGTTGTGGACGAAGACGTTATAATGATGTTTCAGGAAATAATCATGGTGATCGTAGAAGATCACAATGTAAGTTTTATACGCATTTGTTAAAAAGTATACCTTCAAAATTTTTATGAAACATAATTTTTTTCAATTTTCTCAGTTTATTGAAATTTCTATTCATGAAGTTCTACATGATCAAATTGTGTAGGCGAAATATTCATTGTGCATGTTGCAATGATAATTTTTTTTGCATGAGTTTGATTGAATTTAAGTGTTTCAATTTGCACGAAATACGAATGAATTTATGAATATTCAATGGAAATAAGTAGTGAATAAGAAAGTATATGAATAATTCTATTTCACAAACTTTATTGAAAAGAAAACTTTTAAAGAATACGTAGTTATTTAAAGTTCGTTAATAAAGAATTTTTCGAAAGAAATTCTGTAGAAATCATTTTAAAAAAGACCGAAAAATCACAGCTATGGTCCGGTTCGAAATTCTTCTGATTAATACTCTGAAAAAGCCGTATTTTTATGAATACTTCGTGCACTTTCCGCCTTGCTGGATGCTATGTATTTTCATCAAAACGTTGTGTCTTATAGGATGATATAGTACGCGAGTAGACGACATAACCCTAGTATACGATTATGAGGAAGAAACATGATGATTCCTTGCTTCTAAGGAACTTGATTAAGTTTTTCTTTACATTACATTAAGTTTCTTTGTAACTCCAATCAGTTTCTCTTGGAGTTTTATTTGTTTTCTCTTTGACTTGAATCACGTCAAAAAGGAAATAAATAAAACACAAGCTGCAACTAAATCGGATCAGTTTTTGAAGAATAATATGTTAAAAAGACAAATGATAAAACAAATGTCAAAAGTATGGTTCGATCATCAACATATCTAAAATCCATTTAATAGATATTGCAGAATATTATTGAAAAGTCAAGCTCAATATTTAGACAGTAGCTTCAAGCTTTGTTTTACTAAACGTGTTTCGACTAAATAGCTGATTAGGTGTTCGAAAATACATAAATATCCAATAGTTTCCACAAAATACTGTTATAGAAAACTTTTTCGAATATGATACTCACCACAGTTTCGTAGGATATCACACATGGCGTACGATCACTGTTCTAGATGAAGCAATGTAGTTTCAATGGGCTTATTTTGTTCCTCTCCTCTAATAGTAAAGGATGTGCATGAAGAAACGAAGAATACTCACACGCATACTCATTCCACATCCATATCCTTCCTGGATGATAACGACACTAGTAAGCACCGTCGCTGTACTTAGCGTTATGTTTTATTGAAAATGTATGCCGCTAAGTAAAACAAAGTGTGCCAACTTTTTATAAGAGTTCTAAGTTTTTGGGAAAATTAATGAGAAGAGTTTGAATCCGGATCAGAAGTCCTGTATGACTTGCAGCCTGATGAGAACAAATCTTCAAGAATCAAATCGTTTTTCGACCGAGACGATGTTCATTTGATGATTACTAAAGAATAATAGGAAAATGTCTAGAATGGTTTGTCTATTATTCCCTTTCTGAAGACGTAAATATATGAACAAAATTTGCTATTATAGATAAGAGAATTTTGAATATTCAATATTTCAAACTAGAAAATACTAGAAAAGTTACCACTTGTCCAATGAACTAGTCTTATCGAGGATTTTGTTCGTATAAAGTTGGAAGTCGACATTTTCATGAGACCTGAAGTAGATAACATCTTTTTATTGAAAAATCCAATAAAATTTCGATATCTAAAGAACAAAGGCTCGCAAAGCTAAAGAATTTTGGGCTTTTTTTTTATTACTTCCTAATACTTAGTCAATGAGCATTGTCTCGGTCACGAAGCAATTTGGCAGCTGGAGAGATGCTTTCGTGAGCCGAGAAGTTATTGAAATTTTGCACCACGACAAAATTCACGTAACCAAAAAGGATGATTTTGAATATGATTTAAATAACACATTATATAATAAAATATCAATATATTTATATATATTCTTTGTGATCTTCATATGGATTATTTATGTATTATTATTATTCAAAAATGTTTATTTTCTATTTAAAGCATCAATACTTACTCCCTCTCATTATATGGACGTTGATAGGGAACTTTTTCTTTGGTCGGTAATAGCAGGTCGACGAGATTTAGCATTATTATTTTGGTCTCGTGGCAAAAATAAAATTGGTAAATAAAAATTTTCTTCTTAATTACATAGACAGAAACATCTATATTTCTTAGCTACTGCATTAATTGCCACATTAATATACAAAAACCATGCTCGTACAGAAAATGATAATAGTTACACACAATGGGCTGATGAGTTTGAAAATTTAGCTGTAGAAATACTTGAAAAATTTTATCAAGCAAGTCCAAAAGCATGTTTAAAAGCAATTATACGACAAATTCCAGGTTATGGTAATGCAACTTGGTTAGAATTAGCTGTTGCAGCTGATGCTAAAGATTTTATTTCTCAACGAGCTGTACAAGATCTATTCAATGATATTTGGTTTGTTAGCAATGAATATTTGAGAAGTAATAAAAATTTAATATTTCATGTAGGTTTGGATATGTTAATGAACGCACAACTCATGTAACAATCGTTTTTTCTACATTTATGCTTTGGTTTAGTGGTTTTCTTCGTTATAATGAGAATTTAGTTACAGAAGATGATAACACAATAATTCATGTATGCATCATAAATAAATTCTATGTGTTTATAAATCATGACCTTTGTTTTTTTTATTGATTTCTAGAGTTCAATTACTAAACCTTCTCTCGAAAGACAATCATCAAAACAAAAGCGAATGGGAGATAGGTATTGAATATAAGATTCTATTCGTAAAAGTTCTGTTTCGTTTTCGAAACATTTGAAAATGAAAAAGATTATGCATTAATTTATTTTTTATCACTTAGAGACTTGTATTCATGACACATATACCATCATATATGATCGAATTGATGATTTTTCGGAAATGATAGAATAAACTCTTATTGTTTTTCTTTATTTATTCCCTGTTTTCGTCAATTTTTGATTATAATATAGAATGATCGACTGTAGACATGTGACAGCTTCATTCACAAGAACTAATATTCATTTCAACATATAAAATATGTAGCCATCAAAGAATATTGTCATTTGGTTGGTCAGTCATCGACCAACTAGATGAGTTATTGATGGAGATTTTGAAAACGATATTCTGAAGTCATCTTCCTTTCGCTTTAGACTTATGATACAACCAATCGATAAGAAAAATTCTTTTCTTTTGATCTATGTAGAACCAATATTCCTAGGTTACTCTTTTCGAGAGTTATAACACTTCTTCCGAGAGCTCCGACTTCAGTTAAGTGACCTGTGATCATTTGAAAAAGTAGCTAAAGTCCGAAATGTCGGCATCTTCATTACATAGAGAGACTGATGGTAAAGCTGCAGAAATACTGAGATGACAGTATCAGATCATTTCGAACGTAAAAACAAATCTCATCATTCAACTCAGCACAGTGAATCATCTCTCTAACTACTTTTCTAGATGATCAGAGTTTCAGTTGTCTGAATCCAGAACTGCCGGGAAAAGTCTTAACATTTTTGACACAAACCAGATGAAAGACCGAAAGAGAAAATTTTCTTCTATAGACTAGTCCTATTCAAAATATGAATCAAAAGAAAATGAACTTCAGAATACTGTTTTCGAAAAATCTCCATCAATAACTCATCTGATTTATGAATTGTTTATCAATCGAATTTCGTTTATACTTTGATCGTTCTGACTTTTTTTGTCTGAAATAGTGAAAACCGCAGGTCTATACGATGTTTCCATCAAAAGCTTTTCAAAAATCAATGAGGTACATTATATTTTCAAATAGATATTCGATCCAGTTCGCAAAAAGACGGTTGATAAACTATTTTTCTTCATTCGAATCTCTCGATCCATAATAAACAAAAAGCTATCATACGTTGAGTCAACTGATGTACAACTTTTGATATATTACATCTCGAACTGATTTGATGCATTTATATTCATTTAAGTCAAAATCGAATACATATACTCATTGTAAAACTCTTATATTATATAACTACTGAAATAATCCATCTATTATTTGACTATAAATTTTCATTTTCATCTTCACTTAAGTTCATCATATTCAATTATATTTCTTTTTTTTTGTCATTTTTCTAGGTCCACGGAAGGAACTCAAATGAGTTTATTAACACAATATAAGGATGTGGATTCTTCTAATAACAGGTTTGTCGATTTCGACTGTTTTCATAGGGAAAGAAAGATGAGTCAGAGATAAAAAAAAATAATACTAACAAGTGCTTACATTAGCAATGATTGCTTTTTATAAATGAATATTATTTAAATTATAATTTATTGATTTATATAACTAGAATTAGACAAAAAATGATAATAATACTTTGTTTTATTTTATTCTCTTAGGAAACCATTTACATTTTCTCAATATTTTCTCAATATTACTACGTTTCTACGTGCTCCATATGTTAAATATCTTTATAATTTAGTAAGTATTCAACTAGATGAAAGTCATCTATATGCTTTGTTTGAAAATAATGTTTGATTTTGAAAATTAGTTTTCTTATAATCTCTCATTTAGCATTATTATTTATTTTTTTTTGTTTTTTTTTTCTTCTATTTTAGTACTCACATCTGATTTTTTTAATGCTTTTCTCCTATGTGATTTTATGTGATTTTTTTCCACTCTATAATTTTCCAGTGGATGTATGTGGACCATCTGCTGATTCGGTACATCGTAAAGATCCAACTACTGACAACGATGATAATGAACCACTTCAAAGTTATACTTCGACTAAAAACTCTTATAATGTTACCAAATCAGTTTCATATGGAATTCAACGACATAAACACCAGTCTATTACCGAAATTATACTTGTCATATGGGTTTTTACATTAGTTTGTGAAGAAGTTCGACAGGTAATGTGTTTGAATATATCTATACATATACATATATATAATCTATTATTTTATAATTTTCATGTACTGTTCATACTATAGCTAGTAGCAATAGAAGCACAATCAACACGAAATGCTATAATAGCTTATTTTAAAACCTTTTGGAATAGATTAGACGTTTTGGCTATAATTTTATTTATTATTGGTATTACACTTCGATATTTGCCAACATCAGAATGTTTTTGTGCAGCACGTATTATTTTATCATTTGATTTATCACTTTGGTTTATACGTACATTGGATATGTTTGCTGCTGTAAGACGACTTGGACCGAAACTTGTTATGATTGGTGAAATGGTAAATAATCTAATCGATTTTGTGAAGCACGATCTAAAAAAGAGTATCGAAGTATTTAGGGTAGCAATTTACACCCATCCTCAACCTTCATAAGCTGTGACATACAATAGCTAGAGACTATCACAGGTTGTGATAGTCGCTTGTCAAAAATTATCATAGATCGTAACAGGTACTGATCAAACATCATTAGCGACCATGATACAGACGTCGGCCAGAGATTATGAAGCTGCAGGTTTACGTTTTCGTGGATCTGCACCTAAAAAAATTAAAATTTTAGACCTCAACCTGACTGTGTTGAAACCCGAGATTTTTTTCATTAATATCTGGCACCTTCTGTACACATGAATCAGTGAAGGATGAAGGTTTTAGCTATTTATTCGTTGCTCTTAGAAAAAACTCAATGTATAGTTAATTCTTGTTGCTGTATTTCTTATCTGGGAAGTTACGGATCCACAAAAATGTGTAAAAGGGCTCGATAGAAAAGTAAAATATTAGGTCCAAACCTGGCAAAAAAATTTAGCTTCAGACTCGGACCCGCAGTTTCCTACAAGAGATCGTGACCGTCGTATGACTAACAACAGCAACTCTATCGTATTTCACTTTTCATTCCCGCAGAGATTTCACCAACAGCTTTTTTTAATCTTCTATTAAATATTGTTTTGTTATGTTTTTTTTTTCAAGGTGCATGATTTGAAGTTTTTCATGTTAATGTTATTTGTATTTATTTTGGCATTTGGCGTACCATTTCATGGTTTAGTACATGGTGTAAACAAATTTTCTTGGCATTTGCCACGTGAAATTATGAATCTTGCTTATTGGCAAATATTTGGCGAATTAGAGGCTTTAGATACATTTGGAAGTATGAAAATCAGAAAAAAAAAGTTTTTTACTTGAATTATATTATGTTTATTTTTTTTTTTTAATATTATTCGTCTATATCCAGATAATTATAAAGCAAATGGTTATGCAGCATTTATTTTATTGATTTCTTATATGGCAATTGTTAGTATACTCTTGGTTAATCTACTTATTGCTATGTTCAGGTATTTAAAACAAATAATAGACAAAGATATTGATTGTAAAAATTTCAAATAATTAGATATTTTCTATTAGTTGTTTGCAATTATTGTATTTATAATTATGAATTATTCTGAATGGAATGAGTTTCATGTGATTTTATTAGGATTTTATTTTTAATCTTTGGATTTATTTTCAAGAATAAAGGATATTTTGTTTTCGATTATCTTCGAAAAGAAGTTATTCTCTAGAAAATTTAACACTTTACTTGTCTATTTGCTGTTAGAATAACTGCTCAATTTGAATTAAAATAAGTTCATAAAATAATTATGAAAAGAGAAACTATCGATGATCTTTATGTACTGAAACCATTTTGATTGATCTGAATAATATTTAACTTAAATCGCTTGTTTTATTTTAATTTAGTAATACTTTCGATCGTCTTCAAAGCAATACCGATCGTATCTGGAAATTTCAACGATATTCATTAGTGTGTGAATATTTATCGCGCCCGTCAATTCCAGCACCTTTCATATTCTTCTCGCATCTTTGGCGAGTAACATTATTTACATTGGCAAAATGTCCTAAATTAAAATTTATTCAAACTAAATATGAGGAACATTTGAATAGAACAAAATATAGTAAACGCATAATTTTTATTTTCTTTTATTTCTTGTAATAAATTTTTTTAGAAATTTCACTTGATGACAAAAGCGTAACAAAAATTGAAGCAGCTGAAGATGCATATGGTGATGAAGTTTACTATAACTTTTTAAAAATAGGAAGAAAATTAATTGATGAAACTGATCTAGATGAAGAACGAGTGTAAGTAATAAAATTAAATCAAGTACTACTAGTAATATGTTTCTTATAAAACATCGGTGAAAAATATGAAGTCAACATATGTTTAACTTGTTTTTCTACAATACCAAATATTTCACTTAAATCTAAATAATAGTTTCAATAGTTAATGAAGTTCTCTATCAAATGTATTGCATACTGAAATTTTATAAATGAACTATCAGAAGAAGATTTCTGAAAGCATTAAACACGATAGTTTTCAGGTTTGAGAAGACTGTGTAAAAATTAATTCTAACGGACACTATCTTAGAAAGCACAGAACTCTGAAGAAAATGAAGAGTTGAAACATTTTCTGCGACTCTCTGTTCAGAACTTATATTCATCATAAAAAACAAGGCAATGCGCTTTTTTTTAGCAATGTTATGATAAATTTCGATTTGTGATGCATATGTTTTTGAACGAGAAAGTCGCAAGAAATACAATAATCTCTCGTTTTATTCAGGTTTCTATGCTTTTTAATATGATACTCTTTCGAACTGATATTCACACAGTCTTCAAAGACTTGAAAATTACCGTGTTTGCTTTCTTAGAAATCTTATTGTCATAGTCGATCTAAGAAATTTCGGTATGAAAAGAATATCATGGCGAGAACTTCAATGGTTATTCATACGACTATTTAGATTGAAGTTAAATCTTTGTTATCGTAAGAACAAAAGTCAAAAATACATTGATCTTATATTTTTGACTAGTACTGTGTATTTTTAGTCAATCACCACAAGAGAATATATTAAATAAAATTCGAACACTTGAAAATCGTATGCAAGTTATGAGTAATCAAGTAATAATATATTTTGACTCTTTCTTTTTTCTTGCATTTATTTCATATAAAAATTGTTATTTAGCAAGCTCATATGTGTGATTATCTTGAACATCTGATGGATGGTTTAAAAGTTATGGGTGGTGAACGTATTAAATTACCGGAACGACGTCGTTTAGATCCTGAAGAATCATGTATGTTTATAGTCATATGATTTTTACTTTACTAATTATTTTTTTAATAACCAAATGAAATAAGAAAAACAAAAGAACGAAAAAAAAAAATTTTCTTTTGCATTAAAATAGTTGATGACACAAGCAATAGTATTAGTCAATCGAAAGGAAATTATCGACGAGAATCATTAGTTATTAATAGTCCTCGTTCAAGTATGACACCTGATGAATCACGAACGTCAATCATTAATACTTTTTCTTCTCCCAGAAACGTAATTAAATGCTATAAAAACCTACATGATTACAGCTCATACTAATCTATATAATCAATGCTTTAAATCATTGAATGTGATTTATAATCTTATTAAAGAATGATTACTACTTTAGTTTATATTGATAAATTTTGAAAGAATATTAGAAAATTTTACTTTTTTTTTTCTTTTTTCTCTTCTTTTAAGTGATGAATACACAGGTAGACGATGAAATAGTATTCAATGCTTATGGTCATCCTGGCTTCTATTCTATATAATCAAATACATTTGTTACTAACTATTCACATTGACTTTTATTTATTAACTTAATTGACATATTAACATTTCAAATAGTCTTGTCGTGATTATTGCATGGATTAAAAAATTAGATATTGACGAATAATCTCAAAGAAAAACAATGTCAAACATTGATTATTTTCTTTTATATATATAGGTATCACTCACTACGGATGGATCAATGACCAGTGATGTTTGAACTCACATTCTATGTACAATGTCTTATTACTACTTGAGCTGTTTCTTTTTACACATACTCGAAAAATCAATTATTATATCAGTTTGTTTTTGTTCTATTAATTGTAATCGTATATGAGACCTAATCATTTTTCTTGTTCACTTAGGTAGTTATTATAATTTTTTTTTTTGTTAAATCTTCACAAAATTTTCTAGATGTCAAAATTTTAAAAAATGTTTCATGTATCATCTAAAACAATCTTATCTATATTTATGATTTATCTATTTTGAATTAATTGCCTTCTTTTTTCTTGCTTTTTTTTTCTTTGAGATGTCAGAAAATAGTCAAACATCTACACAATCAACAAATGTCAACAATAATAACAGCAATCCAACATCAGATACGTTATCATCATCCGTTCCATTTACACTCAAACGTTGGAATCTTGTTGGTGAGTAACAAAGTTTTTCTTTTCTTAAAAAATAACAAGAATTATCGCTAGGCATTTGGAGTTGGGATGTAGCTCATGATGTATGTGCTATATGTCGAACGGCTTTATCTGAATCTTGTCTACGTTGTCAAGCAGCAAGTAATCTTCAAGAATGTATTATTGTCTGGGGTACTTGCAATCATTCATTTCATAATTGTTGTATGAGTCAATGGGTTAAACAACGAGCACAATGTCCACTTTGTCAAACAGATTGGGTTATTAATCGAATTGGACAATAATTAGTTTATAAAAAAAAAAAAAAAAAAAAAATCTATAAATATGTTTTTTTCTTTCTACTGTGTTTATATATTTTAAAAAAAGAGAATAAAAAAATGAGTCATTATTAAAAATATGTATCAAGAATATCAATAACTGTATAACTATTATCAATAAGTAATATTTTTCTCCATCTATCAAATGTTAAACATGGATGTGATATATCAAATGCAATTATATCACCAACAATAAGATTATGATCAGATGGACAAGACATAAATGCATGTTGATCCATCATATTTGTTATTTGATACTTATTATGATCTATTTCAATAGGTTTAGACCATTCGGATCGATAATGAAGAGCAGGTATGGGATAACCAGCATCAAATGGTGCATCACGTTTACCAAAACCAATAATTGCTCGATTTATTTCAGGTATTGATTGAACATAAGCCCAAATTTGAAGAGCAGGTCGAAGTGCATCATTCTTGCTAATATCTCGAACGATTGAATTTTGTTCAAGGATACGTGTTTGTGCCCGTTGATAAATACCTCTATCATGTGTTAAATAACATCCAGGTCGAAGAATAATATCAACTGTAGAACCTACTTTAGAAAATTCTTCGGCAACAATATCATACCAAGCTGAACCAGCACCTGATAATATGGGTGGTGAACGAGCTAATTGATTTGAATTTATTAAACGTTGTAAACAAGCAACTGCACGTTGTAACATAAGTCGAATAGGTTGTTCTTCATTTAATACACCTTCGAATAATTCAACACCAACAAGAGCTAAAGAATTTTGATATTGTCCAAGAGTATTTAAAATATTTCTTTCATCTTCATCAGTTCGTATTCCTGTTCGACCATTATGAACACCTATTTCTAGAAGAACTTGTAATCGTTTTTGTTTTTCATTATTAAAAAAATTTCCGAGTTGTTCAATATTTGTTGATGAATCAATTAAACAATAAAAATCAAAATTAGGATCATTATCAAGCAATTGTTTAATTATAGACATATTTGTTTTACCAACTAATTGATTTGCCATTAATATACGTCGTACACCAGCTGAATAAGCTAATTGAACTTGTTGTACAGTAGCTAATGTTATTGCCCAAGCACCATAATTAAGTTGTTGATGAAAAAGTTTAGGGCACATTGTTGTTTTACCATGTGGTGCGAATTTAACATTATATTTTTCTATGAAATTTTGCATCCAACGAAGATTATGTTCAACATTTTCAGATGAAAGACTTGCCGCTGGTAAACTAATATCTTCTCGTAATAAATTCCATTTATGACAATTATCACCTATACCCAATCCTTTATCGTAAGGCACAAATGATTGTGGTTGCATGATTAATGTGAATATGAGATTTTTAAAAAGACACAAAATATTTTATTTTTGTTTTTTGTTTTATCATAGAGTGAGGTTCTCTGTTATCTCCTCTTAGATAGGGTGAACAATGCAAATAAAATTACTAGTAAATTTTCTTTTGCTATCTTATCAAACATGAAAACACAACTAATTTTGAGTATCACGAATGTGTATTTTTTGAAAAGCTTCGAACATTCTTTAATATAATCATAAACATCAATATAATTTATTTTTGAGCATGTTTCTTATTTACTAAATATTCTTCTTCAAATATTTTTCAACCCTTTTTTGTGCCTTCTCCGGTGTCATCATTTGCCGTCAATAAAGCTTATATACTTTTTTTTTTCTTTTTCGTTCTTCATTTTTTTTACCTATACACAGATGAAGATCGGATCGATAGTGATAAGTACACGTTTTTATATACCATACAAAACATTATCAACCAACAACGCAAAAGTAGAATGTTAAAATTACATCGTTGTCTTTTTTCTCTACGTTCTATTCAGCAATTTTGTCGATCGCAATCAACAAATGCCTATTCATCGAAATGGGTTTCACCATTATTACAAAAAGATCTTGAAAAATTTTCCTCATCAAATCCACTACCAATTTCGATCTGTTTAATTGGTGATCCTCATCTACGTCGTAGTAATGAATTAGTTCTCAATCTTCAACATGATTTTGTTCAAGCCGCAAAACTTCGACTTCATTATGCTCTAGCTGATTTTCGTCGTAAAAATGGTTTTGGTCGTGGTATCAGTGCTTGTCAAATAGGTATTAATTTACGTATGATTGCACTTAATCTTGGTTATGGATCATTGACATTAATCAATCCAAAAATAATCTGGTCATCATCAGATACAATAACCATGTGGGATGATTGTATGAGTATTCCACGTATTCTTGTTAAAAAACAACGTGCAAAATCAATATCAATTGTATATACAGATGATAATGGGAATGAACAAAAATGGAATGAACTTGATGTATCAATTAGTGAATTATTACAACATGAAATGGATCATCTTAATGGTATACTTAATATTGATAAACCATTTATAGATGATCGTGCAAATGGAAAAGAAAGCATCATTAGTATGGATCAATATGAAAAAGAAAAAAATTATTTTGATCAACAAGTTGATTATATAATCGTACCAACTGTTTGACATTAATAGTTTATCTAGATAAGAAAAAGACAAGACAAGAAAATTATTGATGCGTTGCTTTTTTTTCGTGCTAACTTTAATTAATCTGCAGATTACTCATTTTGAATTTTATTAGATGATGAAATATATTTTTTTTCGTGGTAGTTAAAGTTTAACTTATAATTGTCATAGATATAAAAAAATACATACTGTACAAAAGAATTTGAATTTTGAAGCATTCTGTTTTATGTGTATTAATTCAATCGTTAACATTAATTTACAAAAACAATCTTTTCAATAAATATAACCGCGCATTCTTTACTATTTGAAACATCTCAGGAGAGATAAAAACCGAACTGGAATTTTGACGACCGATACTCTTTTGCACCTCTACATCTCAGAATCTTCTATAATAATATAAAAATCACAAGGGGATTTGATTTCAGCATATTCAGAACACTGAAGTTTATTACTTCAATATATTAACAAAAAAAAAAAGATTCAAATTATAGCATAGTTTTATTACGTTATTTTACAAATATTACACTTTTTTTTCAATACTACTTATGAATATTTGCAACTCTGTCTATAGTTTGAGCGTGTACTATACGCCCTCTATCTCTTGTTCATTCCCATTCCGTCTTCGATATACCAGTAGTACAATACAGAAAAGTGAAAAACCTTTTTGCAACATTTGCTTTGTTTTGTTTTTTTTTCCAATTTTGAACATATTATGCTTGAAATATACATTTCTCTAGATTGAAATAAATTGATAATAATCATTCATGCCAGAAGTGGTAGGAAAAGAATTTTTTGTTTAGTAATAAATATTCTCTAATTTATTTTCTTTAGACTGCTAAATGTTTATGTCGTCAAGACAATGGTATACAAAAATCTCTTTTCTTCTATTAAATAAAACTAAAAAAATTTTCAAACTTTATTGCTTCTTTTTGTTAAGCTCATGAAGATGGGATTTGGGCAGGTGCTTGGACAAAAAGTTTAAAAGATGGTTCTGAACATATAATTAGTGGTTCAATCGATGATAAAGTTAAAATTTGGTCATGGTATAAAGAAAAACTCGAATTGAAATATACATGTACAGGTCATCGTCTTGGTATTGTTTCGGTTGATGTTAATCCTCAAGGAACAGGTTTGTCACAAGAAAAATCATCCTCTTATTGTATTTCCATTTTTTTTTCATACAAATTCATATAGTCGTAGCAACATGTGCACTTGATGCACAAATTAAATTATGGGATATTGAAAGTGGAAAACTTATTCGTGATATTGATGCAACTCCAGGTAAAATATGAAATTAGTTAATAAAAATGTTTTCTATGTATATAATTTTAGTAAATGCTTGGAGTTTAGCATTTTCACCCGATGGACAATATATTGCTACGGGAAGTTTTGGTGGTAAAGTTGATTTATATAATTCTGAAAGTGGTCAAAAAGAAATGACATTAGATACACAAACAAAATTTGTATTAAGTGCTATTTATGTAAAGAAAATTATTCTTTTTTTATTGTTTGTTTTAGGAAAACGATTATTAAATACGATTTTTTTTTATTTTTAGAGTCCTGATGGAAAATTACTTGCATGTGGTTCACAAAATGGTTTCGTAAATATTTTTGATGTAGCAACTGGAAAATTATTACATACAGTTGAAGGTATACAATTTATTATTTTAATTTTTTTTTTAAATTATACTTCCAAAAAAAAACTAGGTCATGCTATGCCTATACGTGCATTATGTTTTTCACCGGACTCTCAAGTGTTAGCTTCGGCATCTGATGATTGTCATATTCGACTTCATGACATGTAAATTTAATCTGTTTATTCTTGTTTAATAACTATGTTGTTTCCGCTAGACATACTGCTCAGCCAACAACTGTAAGTACATTATCTGGTCATAGTTCATGGGTGCTTAGTGTAGCATTCAGTTCAGATAATCAATATTTAATATCATCGTATGTATTGATTTTTTTCATAATGAGAAATACTAAATTAAATGGCTTTTATATATAGTTCATCAGATAAATCGGTTAAAATTTGGGATACAAAAGCAAAACGATGTGTTTATACATCTGCTGAACATTCCGATCAAGTATGGTGTGTTAGATTTAATTATTCGGGTACACAATTTGTATCGATGTCACAAGACAAAAGTATTATAGTACATTCATTCAATCATTAATTGAAATTCTTTTGAACATTGTTTTTCTTTTCTTTTTTTGTAAAAGTTTATCCTAGGGGAATGATCTTCTATTAATAAAGAACGGAGGAAAAAGGAGATCTTTTGCAAACACATCGGTTTTGATGTATGAAAGTATATTTAGAAAGATTAATAGACTTTCAACTGAGATAATATTTATATGTGTGATCATAACTATTCATGCAGGAGAGTAAATGCTTAAATGATCTTTCGACGGGTTCAGATAAACAAATGAGTTTGCTCTTTTATAAACAGGTTTTCATGCATTGTTC